GCTTTCTACTGCCATAAAGAGTTACAGTCGCCGACACCTGGGGCAGTTTTGCCCTGCCCTGTAGAATCACTGTGAGTTGGAATATCCATGGCAGTGAGTACGAGTCTCTGAGTCTGGAATGTGCTCTTGCCGTGTTTTTCTTGTTTACGAATGTCTGAGCTCACCGGAGCATTCTATAACTAGTGATTTTGATCATGCTGATTTATTAGACCCCGTTCTATGAATTCAATGAACTGTCTGCCAATGGAAGATGTGTCCTGGAGCCCAGGTTTTTATGAATACTTTTTGTTAATATTTTTTACAGGGGTCTTGCCCCTCAGAATAAACCAGAGCTGCAGAAAGTGATGGAGAAGAGGAAACGAGACCAAGTAATAAAGCAGAAGGAAGAAGAAGCACAAAAGAAGAAATCCGACTTGGAGATCGAACTATTAAAACGGCAGCAGAAATTGGAGCAGGTGCGGTGAGCTAAAGGCTGCCTCTTTTGGTCCCAAGAAATAAGAATGTAGGAGCAAGCCGGATTTACCAGCCGTGTCACATGTAAATATTTGCAGCCTGAAAAGGGACCCGAGATGTAATGTCAATAGGTGGAGTAAATTACGGGGCACGGGTTCTGCTGAGGACTGACCTAGTGTGTAGGCCCAGGAGCAAAGCCGGAGTCAGGGAATTCTGAATGTACAGAAATGTAGCGAAATCCAACCTAAGAATCCAGAGCATCTGTATGATTGGTGTCTACGTTTTCCCCTTCAGCATACATTTTTGGATTCTTGTCATCTCTTCAGGGGCCCAGGTGGTACAATGTTCAATTGCTTGGCAGTTAACCAAAAGGGTCAGTAGTTTGAATCTACCAGCTGCTCCTCAAGAGAAAGATGAGGCAGTCTGATTCCATAAAGATTTACAGCTTTAGAAATCACATGGGACAGTTCTATTCTGGCCTACAAGGTCAGTGTGAACCAGAATCACCTCAACTAACAGTGTTTCATTTAGGAAGTTTGAGTCATTTCTTGGTTCTGTTTTCAGTAACAACCAATTGGTTTCTTCCTAGTGCAGAACTACCTGAGGATGTATGTAGATAGACATGTATTTGAAACCAAACCAAGAGTTTTCCAGGAAGGAATTTTCTACATCAGGAAGGGAAGTAGTCAGGGCTGGGGAGAGAGGGGTATTTTAAAAAGCTGCTTGATTTTGCAAATAACTTCCTTGTTTCTGAATTTCATTTAGCTTGAACTCGAGAAGCAGAAACTGCAAGAAGAGCAAGAAAACGCCCCAGAGTTTGTGAAGGTAAAAGGCAATCTCAGGAGAACAGGCCAAGAAGTCGCCCAAGCCCAGGAGACATAGGCTGCCCTGAGCCTATGCGTATCTCACCGTCCCTAAGCCCACCGCCACACAGAAGCCGTGTCTGTACGTGCCTCCTCAGCGCTTTATCTCAGGGCAGAAGCCCCTGCAGAGTTCCAGCCAGCAGAACAGTCTCACTGTCAGAAGGATTTGGTTTTGGTTTTCCTCCCTTTCCAGTCCAGGCGGGTCACTTGCCTGTGACAGTTACAATTCCTAGTCGCCAAATGAAGGATGTTGACCAGCACATTAGTTGGGCTAATGGACCTGTGTTCAGAGACTTTTAAAAAATTTTTAAAAAAGGAAGCGGACACTGGAATATGTTTTTGAGAGTTGCACTTCTTGGTTTTTCTTCCAAGTTTAGTGGGGGGCACAGAGCCTTCCCCTCCTCCCTTTTAAAAGCTACAAGCATTGTGTTCAATTCTTTTCTGTCATCCAGTTGAAAACTTAGATGGTGTTAGAAAATATGTTCAATCTGTTACATTCAGTATCTGTCGGTC